TAATATCACTCTTTGAAAGGATAACATCAAGGTCTGTTACCTTCTTATCTTCTGTGTAAGATTTAGAAATCCCTAAGTAGTATATTATGACATGGTCAAGTGTGACACCTAGAGGCTATATGCTTAGGTTCCCTAAAGAGTAATTTTTTCAGCTACAAGTTTTGTACAAGACATTTCATTTTGAAATTCAGGAATGAATCTGCCAGGTTTTGAGAGACAAAGTACATTGTGATATATTCAAAGGTTGTTCACATGTGTCGTATTTCTTGTGTCTTCTCTAATTAGGCTCCCTAGCTTTCATATAAAGAAAAATAATGGAGCACTTCTGAGTCTACTGGAGATGCTCAAAACTCCACAGCCTGAAAGGACCCTGTACAATATATTCTGGTCTGGAATTCTCTTGTAAAATTCTTGAAGGTATCATCTCGAGAGAATCATTTAACCGCACTTCCAGCTGTAGTAAAATTTTTACAAGCAAGTTAGGGTCTTAAAAAAATGCAGAACTAGAAGTCTTGGTGAGTGAGTTTATGCAGGGGGACAGAGAGAAAACAAGCTCATTTGAGTTGTTATTTGGGTTGTTTAGATAATGGAACTTTCAAAATAAGCATATAAGGCAACATGCCACACCTAATGCCTTCTCTGAAAGTCAGATGTGCACTGTATGAGTTTACAGTGGATATATCCAAGGGCCCACTGCATCCTTACAGTGGTACTCAAGAGTGTCCTGACATGACTTAATTGGGTCAGTAGGTTAAAAATATAGAACTCTTTTCAGAAATGGGCATTTGTTGGTTATTGCCTGTAAGAAACTCATTAAAACCATATTGTGGGGTATGGGAACTACTAGCCTATTGAGGGAAGGGATTGTCCAACTCTGCTCTGCAGAAGCATAGCCTCAGTGAGAGCACTGTGCAATTTTGAGTCCTACAGCGTAAGATAGGCAGAAAAATATTAGCATCCAAGGGTGTGCAGCAAAGATGTGTCTAGGCAGCAAGATGTATGAGGAGCAGCTGAAGTCCCTTGGTTTATTTAACCTGGAGAAAACTGAGGAGGCTTCATGGTAGCCTACAAGACCTCATGAGGGGAGTGGAGGAGAAGTACTGATTTTTGCACTCTAGTGACAGTGATATGACTCAAGAGGATGATGTGAAATTGGATGTTAGGTGAAGGTACTTGATCAGGAGAGTGATTGGATCCTGGAACAGGCTCCCATTGGTAATGTTTACAGCACCAAGCCTGTGGGAGTTCAAGAAGCATTTGGACAGTGCTCTCAGATAAAGGATTTGAATTTTGAATGGTTCTGTGTGGAACAAGGAGTAGGATTTGATCTTGTCCCTTCCAACACAAGATATTCTATTATTCTAATCCCTCTTTCTGGAGAAAGGTAGTGAGAGGTAGTCAATTTATATTTAGCAACACTAGTTTTTTCATAGCTATGTGAAGGGAGAACATCTTTTCTGATATAAATTTCCATAATCAGAGTTCAGATTAGGAGGAGTTTAAATATCCTACATAAGAAATGAAATAATCTTCATTCTTTAGAATCTGGTTGAATTTTCTGATATTTCAGTCTTTAAACAGCACAGACAATTTAGAAAGGAAAATGCAAGAGTTTGTAAAATATCTCCTGTACATCTAGAAGAACAGACTGACACTTTACTGAAGTTGTTGGCTTATGCAGGGCCTACAAAGTTAAAGGTGGACAGAAGAGATACTGGACATGCATCCCATTGAGTATTGTTGAGTCTAGAGGCAGATGTGCTGTGTGCGTGTTGTGGTCTTTTTATGCTTTTTAATTTTACTATGTTTAGAAATATGTCTTCAGCACAGAACATAAGATGATCTTGAAGCTCTTAATCATGGCATTTCACAGACAGCAACAGGTTTATGAAATGGGACTGCCTGCTAGTACAGGAATGTACTAGTACTAGCAGGGAGATTCTGTCTGGCAGGCAACTTTTCATACACGGTGGCTATACGATTTGTATTTTGATCTCATTTCTCTTTTCACTAAATAAAATATAGCATGCACTTGTTTTTTTTTTTGTCATGCTCTGACTGTTTAATGCTAGAAAACAAGAACAAAGTAATTCTAATGTTTTATGACTAACTCTACCTTGTTTTCATGAGTGTCTTCGAGATCAGTCATTTTTCCCTAGAAAACAAAAAAAGTGCTAACTTGTCATTCACATATGAGAGCATTTTACTGACTCCATGTGGTTGCAGCGCCTGAAATAAATAAATGTATGTGAATACAAGTCTATGGAGATTCGTTTGTTGATGCTCTAAGGTACAGCACTGACATTGTTTTGTACTGATACAGAGATTAATGTTGATTGTAGTTTATTTCTATGCTTTATCAGAGGTTTCTTTTTGGAAGTACATAAATTTGTATTTGGGAACATCTAAACTGCAAACAATTGATTATTTATGATCATTAGATCATAATTAGATCATTGTGAGCTGGAAATTGTGGTTGTGCTGGGAAAAGACCCTTGCACACTATAGCAAGTAGGTCAGAATATGTTGGGCACACTGACACGGAAAAGGCTGCCAGCAACACTCTCATGTTAGTACATTTGAAGCATAGGCATCTACCTATTCTTCTCTTGCTTGTGTTTTCCTGTTCTGATTAAAAGATGGATATTTGGGCTGCAAAAGTGGCATAGCTCAGAGTTGTTTACAAAAGACAGCTTTTCAAGAATCCTTACTACAGTTAGATCTATGTAAGGTATATTCCCAGTTTTGCCTCCTTTCTTTCTCTCTGACACATTTCTAAACAGTTTTAAGTGCATAATAACTTGTTACCAACAAAGGTGAAACTAGTTTTCTGTACTTTATTGATCTTTGTTAGAACAAAAAACAATACAGCCCTAAGGAATAGCATACAAATATTAGTTGTCATAATCTTTATGAAAAATTAAAAAGTATGTGCTTTTGTTGCATAAATACAAGAAAATATTTGAATGTTTGTGTATGTGTATTCTCTCGCATGATACTGCTTTGTTCTGCTGTCAAAAACCACCTTGATTCATTGAGTGAACTATATGAATGATCTGTTTCCTGATAATGTTTCCAGATGTTTCAGAGGTTTTCTTTAGATATTCATAAAAATTCTAGGTAGAATTCATTGCTGTTAAGAACTCTGAATGTGGTGCCTATACCCGTAGTCACCCTGTAGAATATAACTTTTTCCTCCTTGTGTATATTTCCAGCTAAAAAGCCAACATCTTTAATCTTAATTTTTCAAATGAGTGTATAAGTAAAGTGTATTTTAATTTGACTGAACAAGTCAATGAAGTTGTCACAGATTTCCTGGTGATTACAAAACTTTTTTAAGCCCTTAAATTTATTGTAATATTTTTCAGAAATTATGAAGATTGCATTGTCTTTATTAGATTGAATATTTTAATACTTTCAATGTGGCATGAAAAGCAGTGTGCATGTGAATAACTTAACCTGCCATTTACCTGTGGAATTGCTACAATTCTATTAACTCAGAGGACGCTGTTTTGACAGTATTCCATCTAGCTCAACAAAACACAGGATGAAAGGGTCTCCAATGCTTCCTAAATTGAACGCAGTATGATGTAGTAGGAGCAATTAAAATCTATTTCCAGAAGTGCTTTAGCTGAGATTGCAAGTTCTGCATCAGGATGCTATAAATTTGTTAAGATCATGGCTTTCTATGTATCCCTTATCAACCTATAATCTCCTGATTGTTGCCTGTTTTTCAACAGCTGAGGAACAGTAATCCACACTTGCTTATCTCTCTTAATCACAGCCTCACAGTGCTAGAGCTCTCTGAGCCTTTAATTCCCTCTTAGAGGCATAACAGAGTGGAAAGTAAACAAAGACGAATTTGCAACCTTCAACATTGCTAATTTGCTCTGATGTCAGAATATTTAAACAGGCAAAGACTTGGGAATTATTTGATCATGGCTGATTTTAATCAAATGCATGTGAAAAGGCTGAGTCTGAGAAGGTTGTGCAAAAATGACAGGCGTCCCAAGAGAGGTTCACTGAAGGTTTCTTCTTTAAACAACAATAGCTCCATCATTTTAAAACTCTGGATCATGTGCTCTTGCAGTGGTGTTTTTTTTTTTTTTTTTTTGTGTGTGTGTGTGTGTGTGTGACTGCTTGCATTTTGCATTTTGAATGGAACTTTTTGGATATGGTAACAGATTTCTTGAAAATTTCTCATTTGCTTTGCAGTTTATAGATGTCTGAAACCTGATCTTTAGGCTTGTTAATGCATGTGTTCGCTGGGCAATGGGTGGGAGAGATAAGAATGCCTAATTTAAAAGCTTTGTCTCTCTGCACGTTTTTGCATCATCATGACAGCCTAATGTATCCTGAATACTTTCATATGTAAAACTCAGTGTGTGTTTTAAAAATGATTGATAACTTGATCTTCAAATTACTTTAAATTACACAGTTGACATTTATACATGTATATATGTGTACATACTTGCTGGATAGGAAGGGATGTTATTTTGCATTATATGTTACATGCAGACCTCATCTACCACAGAGATGATGTGCTTACACATCCACACACAGTAGAGAGCTGCACTTTATTACCTGAAACAGATCTGACAAATATGCGAATAAAGTTGTAGGTTGTTCTTTTGTTTTGTTATTCCTTTCATTTCCCTCTGTGGAAACTTAAATGTCTATTTAATGCATGAGTAACCATTTACTTTTTGTTGCTTACAAAATGGTTAATGTAGCATGTATGTTGCTTTCAGGACAAGTGTGTGATGCTTTCCTAATTAATATAATATTGCTCCAGTGTATCTGTTCTGGTTGCAGGTCTTGTGTTTCTGAAGCACGTGTGGTGACGATTTCTTTTCTTCTTAGTGTGTGTCATTTGGGCTATTCCAGGGAGAGATGCCTGGGAAGCCAGGCTTTTACAGTCACACTCTGTGTTGAGATTACAGCGCCGGGTTATTTGTGTTCCTTCTCATCCCTGTTTCTCTCTGTCTCGCTTTCTCCAGCTGGTGTAAATGACTGCTGCCGCCTCCCAGCGCAAGATAACCTGCTCAGTCAGCTGGAGCCCCCTGCGGACAGCTGTCTCTCTTTTAGCTGATGGAAAACTGCTACTAACCGCTGAATGGAAGAGCGTGGAGCAGCAACCATACTAGCAGCAGCCGCTGTAGCAAGAGCAAGCGAGGACTCTATTGTTCCCGTGCGTTAAACAGTTTTTCCTTTACAACTGATATGCACAAAAGCAAGATAGAGGCTTTCAGCCTGCTTCTCCCTGCGAAGAAATTTTGAAGAGGGGAATACTATTCGGAGGAGGTTTCACGGTCAGGCTGTGGGCTTTGGACGCGGGCTGCTGGAGGCATGAGGCTGAGCGAGGGGAGCTCTGCTTTCTCCCGTGGGCCGGGGCTCTCCGCCCCGCCAGCCCGTTGCATGGGAGTGCTGGTGGTCCTGCTGCTGGGGAGCTGGGGCACTCGGGCACAGAGCGAATTCCAAACTTCGTCCGTCTATCTGTGGAAGACCGGTAAGTAAGGATGCTGTACAAACATAGTAGCAGTGTTGCTGTTGCGTAGTAGCCTGTTTAGTTTCTGTTGCGAGCTGTAACCTTTTTGTGTGCTTTGTGTGCGCAGAGAAAGAAAGTTAAATGTGTTAGTGATGTTAACGCGCAGGATTCTAGGAAAGCAAAGTGTGTCGTTTACCAGGGTTCCACCAGCCAAGCAAATATGGCAATTAGAAAACCTTACACTTATGGCTCTGTGAAGTGTTTTCTGGGTGCGCTGAGGTTTTTGATTTTATTTAGTAGCTCTGTGTTGTATGTAAATAGCAAAGGTCAGGGCTCTAGTGCCTGCTCACAATGGAAAGGACCATTTGTTACAGTTGAAGTCAGCAGTGTTAACAGTGCTCTAAAAATATTGGCATTTCACAAAGAAGGATGTAACACAGCGTGTCTAATCTTTATGCTGCGTGCTGACATGTAATATATTCAGTGTGGTAATTGATGGGGAGTTGGGTTTGTTAAATTTAGGTTTGTTGCACAGTATATAGGACACGTGAAAGCTAATGATGGATTAGGTGAAATAATCCAACTGATGCCAGATCTCATAACCAAAGAGCCAAAGGCAAACAGACTATGTGAATTCAGCACCACACTAGATAGATAATTTCCTTTACTTTGGTGCTAATTAATTATGTGTATGTTTTAAAGATTGCAGTTGTAACACTGTTTCAACCTTAACTTTGCTTTAAAAATTAATGAGGTCTATCTTGTGTCTATCAGTGTGTTAAACTAATTCAGAACCTTAACGTGGAGGAATATGTGCAATTTAGTTCCCTAATATGGTGTTAGTTCCTATGTAAGATTCCAAGTCTTCCAAGTCTCCTCTAAGAAATAAAAAAAAACTGGTTAGTAATTCACATTGGCTTGATAGTTAGCTTTTTTTTCCCTGTATGTTGATAGTAATAAGCCAACCCCAAAAGCAGACATTTGTTTAAAATTTGCTTTTCTATTAATTAATGATAAGATAGTAAGAGAGTGCAAATTAATCATTTCTTTGAAAAACAACTTTGAGAAGATGGTCTCTTTCCTGGATGGAGCCTTCTGCCATGAAAACAGATCAATTCACAATCACAGCAATATCCTGAATTTTTTAAGAGGCTCTATCCATACAGCAGCTCAAGCGAAGGATTAAAAGGGAATTCATTTAAACAAGACAGGCTTTCCAATAATGCTAGAAAGAGAAATTTGAGGAAGGGAGAATCCTTTGCAACTTTCACTTCCTTCTGAAAGATGAGTAGTGCAATGGTACTGATTACCCTTTTTTTTTTTTTTTCTTTTTTCTTTTTTCTTTTTTCTTTTTTTTTCTCCCTTCTTTGGCCATTGAAAAATTCCAAATGTAGTTTGTTTCCATTACAGATTTTGAAATACTTGATACATGCTTAACGGGAGGTGCACAAGTTTATAGGAAAATATAGTAATAATAGTAGCATTTTGCATTTAGGCATTTGCTAAGCATTTGGAGAATAAACTCTCCAGTATTTTATTGTCTCCATTTATTAGATTGTATTTAAAGATATTAGCAGTAACATAGATTGAGTAAAATAACTACAGTTAACCAATACTTATGAAAATGAGGTCCTGACCTGCTATGGAGTTGCTGTTTACTTTACCTATAGCACACGTGCTCTGAAGTCAGTGAAACCAGGAGAAAATTGTTTTTTTTTTTTTTGTTTCCTCCAAGCTTTTTCCTTTCGTAAGAACTTTTGTTTAGAAGTATGATATAATTACATTGTCTAGTGATCAGTTAGTTTGTACTTTTAAGCATTCCTTTCTGTGACTTCTCTGCTCTGTTTAACCCACAGTAAGGAATAGTATAAGCATGTTCACTGTATAATTTTTAATATTGTAACCTCAGTGATTTGACAATAATGTGATGAAAAACAAGTCAGAGCAGTTCTTTTCTAGCAGTGAATGACAAGATAGAGTGAATAAGGTAGTGCATTAGAAGCCTAATTATATCTTTGAGCTCCTTTTCTTAGCTATTCCTTTGTGTCAAAAAAAAAAAAAAAAAAAAAAAAAAAGGAGAAAAAATACCTTTGCATTTGCTGTGTGCTTTTCATTTACACTGAGGGAGTTCTTGCCGGTAGCTTTGTCTGACAAACACAGGCTATCTTTGTACAGAAATTGACTTTGTAACAAAATGTATTGCTTTTCAATTTCCTATATTTTATTAAATTAGTCTTATGCTAGATCAGGAATAAGAGGGGAAACAGAATAGCCTGTAGGAGCAATTTGGACTTGTGTCATGTGATAAGCTTGTGCTCGTAATGAAGCAATATACCACTTCACTGGATTGTAACCTTGCGGCTTTTAGGGGCTATCTGTGTTTCTCCTGGGGAGAACTAGACATTGCCACACATCTGGAAAAATTGATAAAATATCTTTTCAGCCTGGTAGAGTTGTATGTTACTGTCTTAGTCTCTGATCTCTCTCTCATTCTCCTCTCCTCTTTGCTGGAGAAAGAGGGTGCCAAAATCATCCCAATCAGTGATCAGCAATCCTTATATGTTGACTGCTTTCAACCAGTGTTTTTCTTATAAGTTCATCACACAGATACTGTCTTAATCTACTGGTTGTCTTCAAGCGGTATATGAAATATTTGTGATTTTATTAGCAGTGGATGTCGTATCTTTATGGTATAGTTGGTATAGTAAGGATATTTAGTTGGATATTACTGATTCTTCTCCCTCCCTCCTCCCCCCCCTTTTTTGTGAAACAATTCATCAGTGATCTGAAGGGATATCTAGCACAAAGTGTTGAAATCTCAGCTGAAGTATTAGAGGAGATGATATAAAACTGAACTGAGCAGTAGTGAGCTTGTGCAACTGAGACAATGTTAACTTTTCTTTCTTTGAATGGAATATAAGTCCCAGAAATGTGTAGCTAAGATTGTGTCTAGTAAATCAGCTTGATTTGTGTGTGTGTGTGCTTTCTGGCACATGTTTTTAGTCTTTTTAGTCACTGAAAACTCATGTTTTTAGTTTTTAGAAGTACTGAGTACTGTGAGTACTGTGTGCAATTCTGGGATCTTCAGTTCAAGAAAGACAGGGAACATCTAGGAAAAGTCCAGCAGAAAGCCACAGAGATGGTAAAAGGTCTGGGGCATCTCCCTTCTGAGAGACCTGATTCTGTTCAGCCTGGAGAATAGAAGACCCAGAGGGGACCTAATCAATGCTCACAAATATCTAATAGGTGGGAGCCAAGTGGATGAAGCCAGGTACCTTTAAGTGGTTCCCAGTAACAGAACAAGGAGAAATTGGCACAAACTGGAACATAGGAGGTTCCATACGAACATGAGGAGAAAAATTATTTACTTTGAGTGTGACAGAGCACTGGAAAGGGCTGCTCAGTGAGGTTGTGAAGTCTTATTTAGAGATATTCAGAACCTACCTGAAGGCTTTCCTCTGCTGCCTACTATAGGAAACCTGGTTTAGCACAGAGTTGAACTATGTCTCCAGAGCTCCCTTCCAACCCTTATGATTATGTGATGCATGTCCATTTATTGAGAAACATGCTGATTTTGTTACTAAATTTAGTTTGGCACTAGCTTTTGGAACTGAATTGCATGTATCTGTTTTCTGTTTCTGAAGAGTTTTTGAAAAAGTATCATAGTGTATGCTACTCCTTTACTTCTGTACTGTCTTATTGCGGTGTGTTCTGTTAAGAATGCCTCAGAAAATAATCTGCAGATGTCATGAGGTTTGAGCTGGGGATTCCTTCTCTTATAAAATAGCAATTATGATACCTGGTGTAGTTTCCTGATGCTGGATTTTAGGGTTGGGGATGAGTTACGGGTCTATTCTCTGCACTTTGGAACTTAGAGTTATAACCCTGAGAAGTATTCAATCTACAACTTATAAAATTCCAAGGAATGTTGTAAAGTTCAGGTTAACACTTTTATGGTTTACTGATCTTCAGTTGAGCGTGGAAAGTGTTGTAAGCAATCTGCTTTGAGAAGAGAGATTCAACCAAATAATTTCCAGAGGTCCCTTCCAGTCTCTACCATTTCACAGTATGGGTACTATTACTATTATTTCTACTTTTCCAACTGAAACTGAATTGAATAAATTCTGAAAATCCTGAGTAGAATGAGTATTTGCTTTTGCATAACTATGCTGGAATTATGATGTGTTAGTAGACCTCCAGTGTAATGCATGACATTAAGTTGATCACAGTTGTTAGTCCTTAAACTTCAAGTTTCTTACTGAATGTTCTCATTCCATGCTGTGTATTTTCTTCAGCTAGAAATACACAGCTGGCTTCATTTTCCTTGTCACTGGGCAAAACCATCTGGTTTCATTAAAAGAAACCAAAGAAAATCTTCTACAGTGCAGAATATCTGGCTCTGTATAGCAAAATGAAGAAACAGCTAGATCCCGGAGCTGAGCTGCTGTGTCTGTCTGCTTGATGTTTTGAGGTACATAATAGCAGTTCTTAAATATTCATTGAACAGAATGTACTGTATTAAGAGATGGTGATTTCCCTGATGTGAGGTAGACACACGTCACTAAACACTGGAGTTATGAAGTTGAAAAATACTTATCAGCCAGGACACTGAACTGTTTATAAATGGTTATGTGAATTTGAGACTGTCTGGATTTCCTGAAAAGTATGGTGTGCAAATTTAGGAAAATAACAAAAGTGAGAGTACCCTTGTAGGAGGGATCTAAGATGTTTCTATTCATTATGTTTTGAATTACTTCTGACTTCATCTTCAGTATAACAACAATAGCTCACAAAGTCTTAACAAATATGAATGTTAAAGGAGTATCTGAATAATTCAGACATTTGTGGATATTACAAAATTTTGCATACAAATCAAATGTAGAAAAGCGGTAAGCATGGTGGGAACTTTTATGAGGCATGAAAGATTAAAAATATTATGGTAAAATGGAGTTTGAATTACGTTTTTTTTTTTAAGTATTTGTTGTGAGCCAAGAACACTTAATCGTTTGTGATCTATGTGT